GCGAATGGAAAAAGGATTTTTCTCTGTCATTGACTTACTGAGGTGTATGACACCTATTATTAAGTTTTTCTTTGCAAATGATCTCTGATAAAAAACTAGAAATGGTGATGTGAAACAATGACACAAGCATCAAGGTGTGACATTAGAAGATCAGGCTCGGATTTCTGAGGTCCCATTGAAGCGCCTTTGCTAAGAGACTGTGTCTTTTCTCAAGGACACAGGAAGACAGAACCCTGGGAAAGCCACCCCCTTGCAAACCAATGCATCAATAATTTCCCTGGCTTTCTGAACATGTCAAATAAGTCCATATATACTGGAGCTTCCTCACAGAAAGAGCTGGAGGAATTTTTTACTTCTAGGATATATGCCAGACGTATTCTTACTCGCTTATCCAGCCTTTTATAATAAGACTCTGATAGCAAGAATATTTAAACTGATCAAAATAAAGATGGATCTACCCAATTCTCCTAGAGTGGTTTCAGAACATCTTATCTGGTCTACACGTAATGCATAAAACAGGTACATATGTGCTAACTGTAGGGGTCTGTGACTAACAGTAGCATCAGATACGCTGGGAAGTGATTAAACAGTATGCCTAGACAAGGGAAGAGAGCATTCCAGGAAAATTACTTCAAAAATAGGGAATATCACGAATATTTCAGAGAATGGATGTGAAAGTGGATTCTAGCACAGTTTTCTGAGAGTTTAACTATTTTCAGAAAGAGCTTTTTGCCAACATGTGAAATGAGGGTACTTTGATAGAGATTTTGTTCTTTGCCATGACACAGAGACAGATTTATTTTTTTTTACTTCTAACAACATTCGATGGCCTGAAAATGGTTAACTAATGATACTGAAATCTGTATTTAGTATGTAATTCAGTTCTGTAATTATATTTCTTATGCATGGAGACAGAAATAAACTAGAGGAAGAACCTATTAGCCCTTTTGCATGTATAATTGAACACGTTTGATATTACTAGGTAACCTTTGTAAGTAACTGGCTTTGAGTTTATGCAAAGAGGTGAACACTCTGAATACATAAATAACAATAAGAGCAGATAGGTTTTTGATTTTGTATTCCATTCTTTTCTTGTTTGTGTCTGTTAGATGCAGTCAGACATCCCTGGCTTTATTTGGCCATACATAGAAACATCTGAAAGATCTGACTTTTGCATCATTTGGGTGCAGTAATGAATAAGAACTGACATCAAATATCAATATTATTGGCCAGCTAAATGGTAGCTGACATCCAACTGGACTGCTGAAGAGGTAAACAAAATTGAAATTTTGTTTTTGTTTAAAAACAGTCTGACATTATTTGTCCTTCAGTAAATCAATGGAAGAATGACCTAAATGCTGTTGCGTTTTGGCTTGGGGAGGTAAAACTGGGCAGCTGCTACCAAGTATATTTTTTATAGTCTTTTAGATTTTCCTATCATTAACTGTAATTGCAAAAATACTTTTTTTGCTTTAAGGAAACTTGGTAACCTCTGTAACGATCTCTTAACCTGCAGACATACAAACACTGCATGGCAGATAGAGACAAACACAGGTGAATGATAATCATACTCTTATTTGAACACAAACACATATATACACACACATAAGGGAGCAAATTTTGTTCTACTTTAAATTCATAATGATTCAACCAAGCATCTATAGTCTTTATACTTCATTAGCATAGGTGATTTGCTAAGCTGGGAAAATGCTGCGCAAAGTATGTACAAAATTTACTTCAAATGCTATTTAGGCCATACTTAGATTTTATATTACGTGGCAATGTTTGAGAACAGATCACCATTCATTTTATGAATTCTACTGTATGAAATGGCATTGTTTTCCCCTAGTTGCTGGTCAAAAACATGTACTAATGTAAAAATATTAGTGGTTTGACTTTTCATCTTTGCATGAGTTATGCAGATGCATAATATCCTCCCGATAATTATCCACAAGACAGAAGGAGAGGGCCAGGGCTGACTTGGACAACCCTGCCCTGACATCCAGATGTAGGCACTGTGGTACCAATGGGGCTCCCTCCACCATCTTTTGCCCACCATAAGCCTACATTTATGCAGTTATATGGAATCCAACAATTAAATGGGGTAACCTCAAACCCCAGTAACATTCAAAAACTGGGGAAATTACTTTGCCTCTTTGGTGCAGTCTCACTTGGGTTTCCCTACAATGGGTACCTTTGCTTTCCCAGTTAGGGTTTGTTCACACGCATCTTTTACTGCACGCAGAGCCTTTGAAGAGAATTGGAGCACACGCACGAGCCGCTAAAAAAACTTCCTTACAAGCACACACACATGTTTCTACTCAAAGGCTTAGCCCTCAATGGAAAAGAAACATCTGAAACATTTTTTTCTACAAAGTTAGTTGTGTTATGGGGACACAGAAGTAAAAGGAATGATAACATTAACTTTTAAAAGGAAAGGTGCCTTTTTCTACATCTTGAATTCAAAAGCAGCTGTATGGATTTTGCTCAAATTTTCTCAAACTTTCCACAGGCAGAGAATGAACTTGGAAAATGGCAGAATTTACACACTGCTGAAAGTGTTGTTTTGTAAGCCCTGACATAACCACAACTACAGAAGTTTCTATCAGGGCAATGTGACTACCCGCCAGATTCTCCAGAGAGCTCATGTCCCAGCAAGGCAGCCTCCAACAAATGGCCATGTTTCAAGTGCCAAACTGGCAGTTACGTTCCACAGAGAAATGGCTAATTATGGAATCTGAGCACTATTAAAGCATTTTGGCTGTAATGTTGCTCACTTAACAAAAACCTATTAATTACAGTTTCAGAAGTATGGTATAGTAAATAACTCAGATTTAATCAGTCTCACAGAGTTTAATGAGGATTTATTCAATTTGTATAAATGCATTATTCTTTTTTTTTTTTTTTTTTTTTTGTTCTTCTTCATACAATACCCTTTCCCTAAAATATCCCTTAATTTTTGGACACACTGCCTGGATGGCTCTCTGATCTAACCAGAAAATTTGTCCTCTGTTCTTGTGTTTTCTCTACAGGATATTGTGCAATTAGAATTTCAAGTTATTTCAAAACTCCTTTGGGCACTGAGCAGCCCTGAGACATGACTATCACAAGCCCACTGAAGTGATTTAGCAGCCTGATTAAATTGACTTATATCCTAAGCAGAAAAAGGAGTGAATCTCTTGGGATCTTTCAGCATTACAGCACTGCACCCATAGAGTCCAACCCTATAGACATGACTATAAACAAAGCATGGGATCTGCAGACCCGTGACATTAGGATATTAAAAAAAAAATAAAAAAAGAAAAATCCAGGTAGGATTCTGTCAGCAGCCTTCAGCTTTGCCATTTAAGACTTAAGAAACCAGACTTTTCCAACAAACCTTTGCCTGGCTGCAAAGCTTCTTTGTCCATGTCTAACCATTAGGCTTTCTGCTGGCCTCTCTGGAATTGATGTTGCACCTTTATCCAAACAGTCCATGATCAATCTCAAAAATATTTCCCATGAAAGTATTGTTGAACATACTAATACTTCTATGAAAATATTTTTTCCTCATAAAACATCTATCTTTTAACAAAACAATTGTCACTCAAAACACCTTACTCAGGTTGTTTAGGGTAGAATATTTTAATTTCTTAGTGGGCAAGCACTAGAGGGTAAGAAAAGAATTCTCTGGCACTATATTTGGTTGAAATATATTACTTGCTTTGCTAGCCAACCAATGTGACAACTCTAACTTGTACAACTCAGGACCAACTACTTAGTCTTTTCAGTAGCTTTCCAGTACCTACAGAGTTAATTTATATAACTGCAATTACAGCTTCTAAAATTATATTCCTCACTCAGTTTAATCAATGCTGCACTAGATGTTTCCATTTTTACTAATTCAATCATTGAGAATGTCAACCAATGATTTAGTCTAGAGTTTAATGCCAACTATAATATTCTTTATCAAAATAACACGCTTATCTGGAAGATTATCAGCACACAGTCTTTCAGCTTCCTGTTAATCATTATAGGTCACATTAGATCATGAGGCTCTTTGTAAATACGTTAAAGACTATGCTATAGTAATGCTATAGTATTTCCCCCACAATTCTTGCTACTTTTAAATATTCCTTGCTCTACACCATAGTGTTTCAAAACACTGAGAGGCAGGTTGTGCCTGTGGAATACATGCATGTGGCCAAGAATGAAGATGCCCTGGGAATTACTATTCCCCTCCTTGACATAAGCTTAAAAAATAGGGTTGACATTAGCAGTTGGTAAAGCAGTAGCTGGTACTGAACAAGAGGAGAATATTCAGGATCTCCTATAGCAAAACTCAGTACCTTGGCTCTGCTGGTAATGAAACTGGCAGTGAGAGCACAGGGAGCAGGGACACCATTGAGATATTTTTCAGGAAAGATGGTCCCTGAGAGAAAAGAGTGCAAGTGGTAGCAGAAACCAACGCTTGCCTCACCACTTCCACACCAGTTTTAAAGAGCAGTGTGGCCAGGAGAGACAGAGAAACCATACATCACAAACACTTTGATCATTTTAGAATATTTCTTACAACCTCAAAGAAACATTTTAGAAAAATTACTTTCCTTCCAAAGTTAACAGGCATTCAGATCACAGTCTGTCACCAATTCCAATCAAAATTATTCTTTTTAGACAACAACTATAAAATTAACCATCCAGGGAAAAAAACCTAACAGCAAATTTCATTTAAGTAAAGTAACTGAACGATCATGACAAAAGAGAATGGCTCAGATTTCATGCACTGATCAAAGGAGAAAGGAGGTAGGCACAAGGAGGGGGAAGTTTTATTATAACTGCCTCTGAGACTCTGCTCTGTCTGGCAGGCGTGTGCCACACTGAGCCACTCTAGAAGTCATTACTAATACTGAATTCAGCCACAGAGTTATCTGTTTCATCAAAGTGCATGACGGTATTTACCAGAACAAGGAACATGATGATTAAAAAAAAATTTAAAAATTAAATTCACACGCAGAACTTACTCTCATGTTGAATGTAGCATGATTACAGGAATGCAGGTGACCACAGAATGTGTAAACACGGAGACCCTAGGAATTAAACACACAAAGAAAGTAATTAAATAAATTATAGTGATATAAATTATTCTGTAACCTTGTAAATAGAAAGACCTTGATTTTATGGCAGTGTGCAAACCAAGGCACTTTGTGTGCTAAAAAACAGCTCCTGGTTGCTGGAAGAGGAACACATTTCTCACAATTGCTAAAGATATATATCCTTACTTCATATAATAGCTAGCAGATAAGGTGCATTCAAATATCACTAAAAAAAGGCATCTCCCTTGCCAGCGGGTTTGAATTAGAAGATGTAATCACTGCTTCCAAAAGACTGAGCTCTTGATTTTAGGCAGTGATTCAATACATGTCTCTCGATATTCCACACACACCATTAAAGTCTTCCTTAAGGAATCACAAAAGCATGAAATCAAAATTAATTATCTTTTGTCATCTTCCACATTAGGCCATAAGTGACCTACACAGTACAGTAACATATGTCAGATGTCATCACTGATATCTGACTTGTTCTCCCCGTACAGGAAGCATCCAACCACAGTATCTCCTGCTAAAAAACCCCAGTCTTCAAGATGGGAAGACAGAGGTATTGAAAATAGATGCACTTCTCTGTTTTCATAAAAATCACTAGCTTCATGGGTAACAGTAACAAAAATACTTTCTAATAAAAGTGAAATCCAGCTTTGAACAGTGTAATCATATCCTGAAGAACAAGTTTTCACTCTAAGAAAACATTTTATTGACACCGGGATTGAAAGACAATGTATTGTATTTTTCTGGAGAGACAAAAAAAACCCCAAACCAGGATCTGAAATTTTTCCACTCATCTCGACAGTCCTTCTCTGTACTTATTCCAGCTTGAATCAATCTCTCGGGAGCAGAGGTAACATAGGTTAATCATACCTCTGTCATGCTTCTAGAGTTTACACCATCATCTTAATTCCATTATTATTTTCCCCCATCCATAAAAAAAAAATATCACTCCTACTCTGACAAAAGATATTTGAATTCTCTTTTTCACTGACAAAACCTCCTACATTTTTATCATCAGCATGCTTTATCGGTATATTCTCCCTGTTTGCAACAAGTCTTTTCAGGAAAGTATTTAATGAGGTTTGACCACAAAGTAAGTCTGGAGAGACACTACTCGACAATACTCTGTAGTTCATGTTACATCTCTGAACCATTTAGGAGAACTCAGACCAACAAAACAGCAGTTTAAGGGGATTAGATTGCTGTTGTAAATATCTCAGAGGTTAAGAGCAAAGAGGGAAAAGAGCTATTGAAGCTGAAGAGCAGTGTTGACGCAGGAACATATGGGTATTCATTATCTGCAGATAAATTTCAGCTGGAAATTAGAAGACAGTTCTCACACAGTGAGATACAAAAACACCCCTCCACTCCGAGTAGTGGGGATAAAAGAATTCTGATTAATTGTATGAAGCTGCTTGAAAAGTCTGCAGATAAATGACCTCTTGCATGTGATCTTTTGCCTGAACTTAAGAGACCAAGGAGACTCTTTCAAGTCTTGTTCATATGGCATTAGAATACAAATTTCTGGTAAAGCCCAACAATTAATGCTTCAGAAAATTCCTTCTGTTTAAAAACTGTCACCAAAAAAAGACAGCAGGCTACTTTGGCAAGTGCCATTTTGTATCTTAGTGCATATTGCATTTACCTTTCTGTCTTGAAGTAGTCTCTGCTTCAAGGCTGCATACGCTATTGAGATGAAACTAGGAAATCAGTATTATTCCCACGGAAGGATTGCAAGATACAAGATAACAAGAAAAAAAGGCTCTGGACTATTAAAAGCAAACCACTGCCTTTAATAAGCAACCACACCATCCACTTTAAGCATAAAAAGGTTGTCAGAGAGCAGTTCTTGAGTCCTCCACAGTTTTCAGCAGACTTACGGGGGGGAAAAGTGCTAAAAAAACCTTATCCAAAGAACTTGTATATTTACATGATTTCTAAATATTAAAATATGAACCAATAAATCCTGATAAAAGGAAAATTTAAATGTTTATAATGCAATTATGAATTTACTGTTGGAATAGAAATGTGACTACACAAAATTCCCAAGATACTGACAGACAAATTAAATTTGATAAAGATACATAATAAGAGACAAAGATAACTAAACACATCTGAGCAGTCTAGCAAGAAAAAATTTTAAGGACATAAAATGTGGCCTAGCAGCAATATCAGTTGTACCCAGTCTGTTGTCACAAACCAAATGTTGATGCATGTTTTGCATGTAAAGAATAGCCTTTGTAAAGTAACTGCTGTTGCTCAGCAGGACATAGTATTTACCCTCAGACACTTTCAAATACCAATATATACACAATAACCTTTCCACAAATGCAGAAAAAGCATGCCAACACGAACAACAAACAAACAAACAACAAAAAAATAAATAAACCCACATGGATGCCGTGCCACAAAATGAATGTGAACTTTCTAATTTCTCTTCCATAAGTCAATCCAGTATAAACCACCTGAAAAGTATTTTAATAATAATAATAATAAAAGCTAGACAAAGGAAACGGTTCTGTAAAGTGTTTCTCAATACTATTGCAGAGACTAATTTCTTAAGTGCCACTTTATTTTTATTCAATGCACAGCTAGTGTTTCCTTTACCAACACCAGGAAATCTGAGTTTTGCAGACATAGATGCCATAAAAATAAAACTGGAAAGCTTACTATTTAGCTGTAATGTCCCAGCAAAATCAAACAGTAATAAATATTCTCTGGATCAGAGCAAATATTAAGGTAGCACTGAGCTTTCTGCACCCAGAGCTCAGCAGTAAGCTAATGAGAGCCCTTTTGTGCATGCATTCTGCTTTTCAGTCTTTAATTATAAAATAATCTACTATAACACCACCAGGACCACTGCTTCTTTCAATGTGGAACTAAACAGGGTTTCCGCGTTCCAGGCTTAATCTCCCTTGGAGCAAAGTCTGGAGCATCGCTTCTCCAGGGGAATTTCACTGGAGCGCCTTGCAAATTGGTTCTTGGCTTACTAACAGCTTCTGTCACCCAGGAACCAGCTGTACACATCTGCCATTTAACTGAATTTCTTTGAGGTCCAAGATGAGCAGGGGCAAACATCTGGGACTTGTATCACAAGAAAAGGAGCAGAGGAAAAAAGGAGGAGCCTGTCTTAATGTTAGGGGAGTTATCAGTTAGGGAAAATTATGCTTCTTTGCTGCTACCTTCAAGTTCTCACTGACCATCACCCTACTGACAGAGACAGCATTATCACAAATTGAGAGTAGGAGAAACAACAAAACATCAGAGCAGAACTCTGCAGCTGTAAGAAGGCCCATTTTTTTCCACATTTAACCCATAGGTTCTATCTAGTCTCCTTGCATACGACACACTAGCAGACTAAAGGGCAGTAAATTCTGGAGAATACATTATTATTGTTAACTGAGTCATCAGGTCTTGATTGAAATATTAATGGAGGAAATCTCTGTTCTATTCACTCCTTGAGCTACTGCCCAATTACATTAATAACCATACATTCTTCCTCTGCAGAAAATACACAGATAACAGCGACATTCAAAGAAACAAAATATGAAGTGTTCTGCATTGTTTTGCTTTTTTTTTTTTAATTTAATTATTATTCACACATGCACACACACATATAATTTTTCAGTCTGAAACCCAGAAATTAACATTAGAATCAGCGGTTAGAAACACCATGGAATTATGTTATGGAGCCTATCAACCTCTCAGCTTCCACTGAACAGAGACATTAATTGCCTGCCTTGGACTGGAGCTATCTAAGACTTCAGATAGAGAAAACAATTATTTTTTTAAAAATGCAATCTAGTATTGTAGAAAAGCAGCCTGACCTTTGGAACTATGGATCTTCGAATAGTAATCCTGCTGCAAAAGTAGTTAAACAAAGAACCCAAATTCAAATGATTTTTTGTTCTTCCTTTCACAGGATAAAAGCCCAAGATTTCAGAATCAATAGTGACATTCTGCTGTAAATCCTCCCTACTGTGGCCATATAGCTATACAAACATCAGGGCAAGACAAAACAGGCTGAAGACAATCATCATTAATATATTGCAGCTGTAGCACAGCAGTTGAACCTTCCTATACTTATTTTAATTACCAGTTTAGCAGCAACGACAAAAAACTCCCAAACCTAACAAGTCATTAGCCCAAAACTGTTGCAAATAATTTAAAAACTACTCATGATTTTTAAACTCTGCTGTTTTGATTATTTTTCTGGATTTTACCAGTCCTGCTATACATGAAAGTCTGACATGAACAAACTTACTTCACCAAATTCAAAAATCAAGGTAACAAATTCATTAGATCAAGCTGAGTGTAGTTAACTAGGTGCAATACGTAATTATCTCTATTAGTTTGATATAAGCTTTTAGATAACAACATCCGAGTATGAGATTTATATAAACCGTGTTCAGATAAGAGATTTATTTGTAATTTCTTGGTTCATTTAGAAATTAACTCAAAGAAATACGTTCATTCAGAAGGACTGAACTAAGAAAAGCGCTCAAACCATGAAGCACTCAACAGTGGAACTCTTCACCTCAGTCTCTATATTGCAAACAAACAAAACCTCCCAATAGTTTTTCATTAAAGGTTTCATTTTATTTGAGGGGAAAAAGAGAGTATCTTGAATGAAATTTCTGATGTTACACAGGTAACTTTACAGAAAGTAAAATAATCTAATGCTTAGGAAGCTCATTTCACTAGCCTTGAACTTTTCCTGAAACAAGCATAATACCAAGCATACTGTGATTACTGGCTATTGACTCACTGGGGAAGGTCTAACCTGTCTCTCAATTTCCCTTGCTGAATATGGCCAAGGGCTTCCCTTTTTACAACAAAGTACAAAATTAAAAGTGTGACTCCTACTCAAATCCTTGCCTTATTCATGATGTGGCTGTCTGCTTGGTCTACCTGTGCTTTACATCAGCAAGGCACCAGCAAGCTCTGAAGAAAATGTGTCACGTATCCAGCAGAACTGTGGGCTC